CGGATAAGTGGATTACGTCTTTGAATTCGGTGGGAGACAGTAGACAGAATCAAAGGGGAGCTCTGTGATGGGTAAAGATGGACCATACATTTCGTATACACAAAGTGATAAAAAGATCATCAGAGATTAGCAGGGACATGTCGGTCGTTTATGCATTTTTAAACAAAAAGGGTGATGAAGATCTTCAGAGAGTAATATATCTTCGAATAAAAACTAACCTCTACTAATGGCTTGTAGCTAGCTTCAGTAGGTACAGGATGCCGTCGTAACATAGCACAATCCGGATACTCAGCCAATATCTAAAAATGCAAAGTTACCGAGTGATGAAAAATTTAATGGAGCTATTCCAATTTGAACATCTGTTAAATCTAATTAATGCTTTTTTCTTGCTAATCAAAAAAGGGTTTTTATGATGAGCGTGCGATGCAGAAGGTATTGCGATCATCAAAACGCAGGACTGACAATTCCAGAACCACTCTTACATAATTACCACTTTTTTGCTACATCAAGCTACTGCTTCTTTCAAAATCAGTGATGAGCAGACCTTTTCCGCAACAGAAATATTTGCAAGCAGCATGAATTCTTCCACCATTGAATGTGTATCCAAATGTTTCTTCTCTTGGACTGCTTTTGGCGTTCGTGTGTCCCAGTCCATGTCGAAACGAATCTGAATCAACACCAAATAAATCACTGTCTCAGGTCTCGAACAAGCGGCACCTCTGATGATGCTAACGTTAAAGCACCGTTCGCAGTTCTTTTCTTATTTAGAATTTTCGAAAGCTTCATCAGTTCTCGCAGTCCCTTCGTGACATCGGTGTTCTGCAAGTAGAGTCATCATGGAAATCACAGTGATTCTAAATTTATCCGATACCGATTCAGGATCGTCTATGAACTCTTGCGCTTGTTCATATGTGAGCGCCGCTTTGGAGCAAATCAAGGACTTGTGATACTTGGTGTCCAATATTTCAGCATCTTTCGTCATTGTCCATATTACCGAAAACGCATACCTAGAAAAAGAAACGATTCAAGGAAAAGCATTCCAGCCAAAGCGGCTGTTTAGGGCGTACTGTACCGCCTGAGAGAATCTGCTGGCTAGCGCAAATCCGCCTTATTTGTAAACGCTGTTATAGCGTCGACACACAAGAAAATTACGGTTCCTCTTCCCGCTAAGGCAGAAAGTTCTTCCTTTGATGCGAATATTCAATACCAGATCATTTATAATCGCAATTTTGGCAGTCTTATCAGAACTTCCCAAAAGTACGATGTGAAAGATGCTCATAATCCTTCGAACCTCCCTCCCCTTCCGCGACGCCCTGGGCAGACTAGGCGGAGCTGCTGGAAAGCGGGTGTATGACAAAAGGCGCGATTTTTATTGCCAGCTGGGCAGCAAATGGCACA